GCGGGGCCGGAAGAGACTGCGCCAGCGACTTCCGGCCCCAGGTCCCGCCCCTCGTTCCCGGAAGTAGGGGGGAGAGGCGTTGCCATGACGGCGTCCCTCGGTGGGTAGCTGGCCCCGCCCCTCCGCGGACTGGCTGACCCCTGAGCCGGGGTGGCTTTCCTCCCCGCGTCGCTCCCTAGGACCCCGGGCCCGGCCCCGGGACCCTGGGTGGGTAGCGGGGGGCTGTGACGGGCAGTGACGAGGCTCCCCGCGTCCCGCCCAGGGCAGGTGCTGGCGCTGGTGCTGGTGGCGGCCCTGTGGGGGGGCACGCAGCCGCTGCTGAAGCGCGCCTCGGCCGGCCTGCGGCAGGTGCGGGAACAGACCTGGGCCCGGCAGTGGCTGCAGGAGGTGAAGACCCTCGTCCTGAACACGCAGGTGCGTCCGAGAGTGCCCCCTCTCCAGGAAGTAGCCGCTAAACATTGGATCTCTGGGGTCGCAGCAGGTCTGGGTCAGGATCCCGTCTGCTCCTGGCCAGTCGCTGACCTTGAGCCGCAGTGTCCTCACCTGTAAGGAAAGCTGACAGCCTCCTACGGGCGGTTAGAGGCCCGCCTGCTCAGGCGCTCATGGGCCCGGTGTTTGTGGCGTTACTGTTCATGCTTGGCGATCGTCATGGTCCCCTCCCGTGGGGTAGGGTTAGGGCTCACACTGGCCCTGGGCACAGATGGGAGAGTTTGGGAGAACCACCCCCGTGGCAGTGAGGCTGGTGGGAAGAGCCGCAGCCTCTTGGAGGGCGAAGGCCGGGAGAGGACGAGTGCTGTGAGTTCACAGGAGGCGGTGGAGCCCGGGGACTTAGGGGCTTCCTGGAGGGGCGACGTTGGCACCCAGTGCCCTGCAGAGTGGGGAAGCTGGGCACTAGCAGAGCTGGGGGAGAGGGCATTCCGGGCAGGGCATGGGGTGCAGCCTGTTTCTTCTGCCCTGGGTGAGTCCTCAGGACCTTGGCAACCGCCCCCACCCCACCCCAAGGCCTTTGGCCAGGCCCCTGACCAGGCTCCTTTCTGCCTTTCAGTACCTGGTGCCCTTTCTCCTCAACCAGTGCGGCTCCCTCCTCTTCTACCTCACCCTGGCATCCACAGGTGGGTCTCTGGCTTGGAATCGCTCTGCTCAGGGTGGAGCCACCTGGCAGAGTCATCACGGGACGGGTCCTGAAACGCCTGTTCCTGCCAGTGAGGGAGTGCTGTCCCTGATCCCGTCCTGGCACCCTCTTCTTGGGCAGCTTGTGAGTGTTGCAGGCACTAGGGTTACTCTGAAGCCCCTGTATCTCAGGCAGTGACAGCGGAGGGGGCGCCCTCAGCTGCTGGGGTGCTGGCTTGGCATGCTTGTCCTCTGCCCCGCCTGGCCTGGAGAGCGCTTTACTTGTGCTTTGCTGTTACACAGTTTGGAGCAGCAAGGGGGAGATGGAATTCAGTGAGTAAGGAGCCTCTGGCAGGTAGCCTAGCGCACATTAGGAACTCAGTAAGTATCAATTTTTCTTATTTTAGGTTTTGCTATAGGGTATGTGTACTCACCAGAGACAGAGAGAGAGACACAGAGAGAGCTAGAAAGCACCCCCTGGGGGAGTAAGAGGATGGCCACTCTGAAGTCCCTCTTCTTCCAGTCTCCTCTCAGGATTTTGGGCACACACATACATACCCAGAATGATTTTCAAGTCACTGGGTCTGAATCCAGCACCTTAACCTCCATGCCACCTGCTGACCCATTGATAAATACAAATTTTGGGACCAGCAGTTAGCGTAATGTCTTATGTCACTGAACTCCCATGTACTCGACTGTGGTTCAAGTCCTGGACCCGGTGGCTTAAGCTCACGCCAGGTGCATGTGCGTGCGTGCCCAAGATCCCGAGAGGAGAATGGAGGAGAAGGGATTGTGGCGTGGCCATCCCCCCTGGGGGGTGATTTCTCGTTTTCTGTCTCTCTGGTGAGCACACACGTCCTGTAGCAAAAACCTCTCAAAAAAAAAAGATAAATACAAATTTTTCTTCCAATGATTCTCCCAATGATTATCTTTATTTAGGAAACAAAATTAGAAAACTTTGGGCAGAGGGCCAGAAGGTCCGACCACAGTTCAAGTTCCAAACCTGGAAGCTTGAAAATTCTGCCAGGCGCCCGTGTGCGTGCCCAGGATCCTAAGAGGAGAATGGAGGAGAAGGGACTGAGGCATGGCTGTGCCCCCTGGGGGGTGATTTCTCACTTTTCCTTTCTTTCTCTCTCTCTCTGAGTGTATGAGCCATATGGCTGAATGAATGAATGAATGAAACTAGTTCATCAAAAAAACACTTTGGGCAGCCTGTTTCATCCCTCTGATACAGCATGTCCGTGCAAAAGAATCGTAAGGCATATATTAAAGTTTATGCTCTTGAACTTTGCTAGAAGTTCCCCTTCCTGTGGTTTCACCTTCCCTGGAATCTCATCCAGACCCCCAGGGGACTTGAGGGGAGTTCGGTCCCCAAATCTCTCTGGGGAACCTCTCAGAGGCCATGGGAGGGCAAAGGCACAGGCTTCCAGATCTGCCTCCTGAGCGCCAGCTGGCCACTCCGCTTCAGCTGGCTCACACGTTGGTTTCTCAGGGTTTGTGACCTGTGGCCTGGTGCGCGCACTGTTGGGGATGCTGACCTGAGCCAGTGACTGCAGCTGACCTTTTACCAAGTTTGGGCACGTTGCAAATGTAAGATCCTGTTATTTTGTCTCATAATCTGCCTCTGTCCTTCACTGTCCGTCCTTTCCAGTAAGTAGAACAGTGGTCGCTATTTATTAAGCATGAACTCCAGCCAGGGATGGTACACGCTTCGTCACCGCTCACCCACAGCTGCTTGCAGAAGGAGGTGGCATCCTGCTGTCACTGTTTACACAGGGGAAGCAGGCTTGGCACGTTCAAAAGCCTAACCAAGACTGCCAGGGAGGCCTCATTCTTCTCCCCCCATTGCCCGGGCTCTTCATGGCCCCATTCTGCTTCTCCCCACCCACTGCTGTTGCAAGCCTATCTTTCACAGCCGTGACGTCCCATGAAAGCTGTGTGAACTGGACGGAGTGGCCCTGAGTGGGTAGGAGTGCTGAGTAATGCCAGCCATGGGGGCTAAGGACCAAGGACCGGGATGGCTCCCTCCTGCTCTGTCTCACGCAGGCAAAGAAAGCCTGGGCGTGCTGGGAGGCGTGAGCTGAGCAGCCCTGTCTGCCTGGCCGTGAAGTCTTACTGCAGACAGGGAGTTCAGCTTCCACCCTAGCCAGTGTGTGTGTGTGTGTGTGTGTGTGTGTGTGTGTGTGTGTGTGTGTATGTGTTGTTTTTCCTTTTTCTTTTTAGTTTTTGACATAGGAGTAATGAGCTGACTGGAGAGAGAGAAGAGAGAACGAGAGAAAGCGAGACATCACCCCTCGGGGTGGGTGGACATGCCATAATCCCTTCTCCTCTGTTTCCCTCTCGGGATTTTGGGTACACACGCACATGTGCCCAGCATGATTTTCAAGTCACTGGGTCTGGGACTCAAACTGTGGTTGGCCCTGGTGAGAGTCCACCTTACCCACTGTGCCACCTATTGGCTCCTGTTCTTTGTAATGTGATTAAGAACACTTAACATGGGGGTTTGGGTTGCGAGGAAGTGCTAGGTGGGCATTGGAAGAGTGCACTCCCCAGTTTAGCAGATACTAAACAGGCAAAAGTGAAAATAAGATAATAAATAAAAATAACTAAAAAAAAAAAAAACTTAACATGGGCACATCAATGTAATGGCTATGTCACTGGACTCCCATGTAGTCGACCACGGTTCAAGTCCCAGACCTGGTGGCTTAAACTCACGCCGGGCACATGTGAGTGCATGCCCAAGATCCCAAGAGGAGAATGGAGGAGAAGGGATTGCAGTGTGGCCATCCCCCCTGGGGGGTGATTTCTCACTTTCTGTCTCTCTGTCTCTCTCTCTCTTTCTGGCAAGTGCACACGCCCTATAGCTAAAACCAAACAAACAAAAAACCAAAAAAACACAAACTCCTCCAAGAACACTTAACATGGGGCCAGCTGGTGGTACAAGCTTAAGGTGGATAGATCCCACGTGGCCGACAGCATGGTTCGAGTCCTGGACTCTGTGGCTTGAAAAACACGCCAGGCGGGACCATCAGCAGATGGTCTAATGGTTATATCGCTGGACTCCCACATAGCCTGCCATGGTTCGAGTCCCAGACCCAGAGGGTTGAAACTCACACCGGTGCATGTTCATGTGTGCCTAAAATCCCGAGAGGAGAAGAGGAGAAGGGACTGTGCATGGCCATGCCCATGGGGGATGATTTCTTGCTCTGTGACTCTGTGTCTCTCGGGTGAGGGCATGCACCCTCTGGCAAAGACAGAGTGTGTGTACAAACAGGAGAGAGGGAAATGGAGAAGAGCACCCTCCACAGGGCCAGTCCTCCAGCCCGTGGATCCTGGGCACCCGTGTGTAGGCCCATGTATTTCAGGCTTCCCAGGCCAGGGATCCAAACTGCACTCACCATGTAGCATCTAGCTTCTCCACTGTGCCACAGAGCCAGCCTGAGGTATTTGCCAGGGCCTTGCCGTGCTGCGGTCCTCCTGTCCTAGCTTCCCTGTTAGCAAGGCCCGTGGCACCTGCCACCACACCTGGCCTGTTTGGACCGGGCCAGGAGCCAGACCCAGGCCTCCCACGTAGCTGCAGCCACCACGCAGCACACCTGCCAGCTGCACCCCTGCAGCCGGGCCTCTCAGCCGCGCGTAGGCATACTGTGCTCTTGTCGATGCCATTATCCTCTGCCAAGTTTACTTGATGGAAGTGAGCTCCTTAGAGCTGCAAAGCAGGGGACAGGTCCTGAGCTGGTGACCTCTGTCCAAGGCACAGCCGAAGGCCCTGAATAGGTTCCTGGCTTCATACTTGGGTCTTTTTCCTCTTCTAACTCCCAAGGCTTGAGCCCGGCTGAAGCAGAAACGTGTGTCGCCGTAGGTCTTGCTTTGTGCGTGTCCACTTAGTTCAGTCAGGCAGACCTCGGTTTAAGTCCTCTGTTTGCCTCAATTCATATGACCTTATTATTTTTAAGGTTTTTGTCATAGGGCATGTGCTCACAGGAGAGGGCATGAGAAATCACCCCGTGGTGGGCGGCGGGGGGCAGCCACGCCACAACCCCTTCTCCAGTATCCTGAGATTTGGGGCAAGTACGCACAAGTGCCCTGTGTGCCTTCCAAGCTGCTAGCTCCGGGACTGGGACCAGTCAGCCACTTGGGAGTCTAATGCCACCTGCTGGCCTGATTCATGCGACCTCTGAGCTCTCATTTCCTTCTGTGCGACACGAGAGGTGCCCCAAGCGTGGAGCACATGGTGTGCGTAATAAATGGTGGCTGGGTTGGCGTTGCTGCCGTCATCCTGCTGTGTCCTTTAGGCTTTAGGTTGCTGTCTGTCTCTCAATTCCTTCGAGCTCTCAGGTATTCTCTGAGTGTGGAGACCCCATTCTCACTGTCGGACCAGGCCGGTCCAGAGCTCAGAGCTCAGGCCTTATCTTGGAGGCCCAGGGAAGCACTGAACTTGGAGCCGGGGAACCCGGGTTTGAGTCCTGAACTTCGCTGTGACTGTGTCTGGAAGATGGGGCCACGATACCTTTCAGAAAAGTATGAAATGGGGACCAGCAGTTGGCGTAATGGCCATGTCGCTGGACTCCCATGTAGTTGATCACGGTGCAAATCCCAGACCCGGTGGCTTAAGCTCACACCAGGCGCATGTGTTGTGTGCCCAAGATCCCAAGAGGAGAATGGAGAAGGGATTGCAGTGTGGCCATCCCCCCGGGGGGTGATTTCTCGCTTTCTGTCTCTCTGTCTCGCGTACGTGCCCATAGCAAAAACCTCTCCAAAAATTGGTATGAAATTGTGATGACACAACAGCATCTTGCACCCAGGAAGGCATTTCTGTGCATTTCAGGGGTTCTTCTCACTCTGCACCCCCAGATCTGACCCTAGCTGTGCCCATCTGCAACTCCCTGGCCATCGTCTTTACGCTGATTGTCGGGAAGGCCCTAGGAGAAGATGTTGGTGGGAAGCGTAAGTTGGTCTGCTACCAGTGCCTGGGTCTCCACACGCCGGGTAGGTTCTGAGTCCATCCCCAGGGCCCTCCCCATCCCGCCTTCCCTCTGCGGCCGTCAGTGTCCTTCCCCAGGGCAGCCTGGGGACAGAGGCACAGGTTGGGAATCTGGACAGATCCCATCCGAGCCCTTCCCTCTGCCCTGCCAGCTCCCCCGCAGTGGGCTCAGAGCCCCTTGGTGTCTGTCACACACCCCAGGTGCAGTGGCTGGTCTGGCGCTCACAGTGACGGCCATCACCCTCTGCATCACCAGCTCAGTGAGCAAGGCCCAGGAGCAGCCGTCCCCTCTGTGAGTGGGCCGGACCCCAATGGTGCCGCTGTCTCCAGGACGCCCCTAGCCGCAAGGAGTGAGCAGGTTGCCCTGATGCCGCAGCTCTGAGCCCCGGCCTCCTCTGTCATGCGGACAAGCGCTACCTCACAGATCCAGTAAGAAACCGTGTGTGTGGGTCATAACCCAGCGGTGCTCGCTGCTGGGAGGCAGCCCGGGACATCACCTCCCTGCCTTTCCACCCTGGCAGCTCGTCCTGCCGTGGCCCCAGGCTGAGCCCAGCACGATTACTGGGCTGACCTGCGCTGCTGCAGTAGCAGGGCTGGGCTGCAAGCATGTCAGGGGCTGCTGGTCTCTGAGGCTGGAATGCAAAGGGGAGGCCTCAGGCTCGGGGCCTTTGCTGACCTTGTGGTGGTACTGAGGGGAGATGGTGTGTTGGGGCAGAATGGTGAGTGGAGCTGTCTGTCCCGCGCGTGAGCCCCAGCACCCGAGGACACCTGGCCCTCGGAGCCTTCAGTAAATCTGGGTGAACACGCAGGTCACCAGGCGTCCTTTATTGTGACACCCCGTCCCCACGTGTGGCCTCTGGATCAGCCTCCACAGCAGGGCCACTCTGCTCCGAGGAGGCTGTGTGTACCCCGAGTCCAGGGGAGGTGCCAGCTCAGGAACAGGCTGGGAGCCCAGGACAAAAGGTGGCTGCAGAGGGGTGGTCCCCGCTGTCTGTCATTGGCTTCTGCTTCAAGATGGCGGAGCAGGGGCCTGAGGCTGACAGCAGCCCGAGGCCAGGCTGGCTCTGTGGGTGCAGGGCCACCTCCAGCGCCCGCGCTGCCCTTTGCAGGAGGAAGGCAGCACAGGGCGGCCCTGGATATGCCTCGCCTCTGCCTTTGGCTGCCAACTTCCGGTCTCGAGCTCCTTCCACCCGCCATCATCCAGCTCCCTGCCCCCCTGACCCGAGCGCTCACCTGACCCACGGGCACCTCTGTCCAGGTGTGTTCATCCTCTGCTACTTCCCTCCGTAGGCGGGAAGCCCTGGAGACTCCCCTGACTCCTAATGTGGGGGTGAGGGTGCCACGTGGGCTGGAGCCCGGGCTGAGGAGCCCTCTGCGTTCTTGCCCTGACCGCCTTACTGGGCCCCTTCCTCTTCCCAGAGCCTTGTCCCACACTTCCCACTACCCCGGGCGGCAGTGAGGTGAGAGGCAGGCCTTGGACCCCAGCCCCAGCCCCTCTGCCACCCCGAGTTAAGCAGCCCGTTCCATCGCTGCCTTTCTAAACGGCGGGGGGTGGGGGGGCGTGGGCGCACGTGCGTGCTGGACAGGGAGGCGCGCTCGGTCTGGGCACAGTGCACCGCTGCCCCCACCCTGCAGCTCAGGGTCCTGGGTGCCTGGGCAAGCTTTTAGGCCCACCCATGTGGCTTCCAGCCTCACAGGCCACTTGCATGACCACTGTGCCACGACAGCGGCCCACTGGCTGCTGTTCACACCACGAGTCCCTGTGAGGAAGCCGGAGACTGGCTGTGCTGAGGTCAGACTGCCCTGTGCCGGCCTGTCCCCCTGGACATCCGTGACACCATGCACCGTTCCTAGTCCCTGCCAAAGGGTGGCTGGGAAGGGCTTGGGCCCAGGGGCCGCCTCCTGATGGAAGCGCACGAGCGGGACGCTTGCTCCCTGGCTGAGCCTGCTGGGCTCTGGCACTGGAAGCAGAGGGCTCAGCCGGGCTCGTTCCCATGGAAGGGACGCTGGGCCAGGCTGGGCGGGGTTGCTGGCTGTTCTTGCCTCCCCTACTCCTGACCAGGCTTCAGAGTGCTCAGGGCATGGGGGAGGAGAGGCCATCGTGTGCCAGCTCTCCCGCCCGGCTGCCCTGTCTGGCGACAGCAGTTGGTACCTGAAGGTGCTCAGTGGAACCAGACCGTCCCCCTCCCCCATGCCCAGGCCCCGTGCTCACTGGCTCATCCCATGGGAGGGCTCAGGCCTGGACCAGGGCGGGAGCAGGAAGTTCCCAGCCCTCTCCCAGCACCCAGCCGGGCCAGAGGGTCAGTCCCGTGACGTGGAGCCCGAGGTCAGAGCGGGCTTGCCCTGCACTCTAACAGCCACCCCAGCAGGTCACCCTTCTGAGCTTCAGTTCCCACCTCTGGAAAATGGGGGCGACTTCTGTTTCGCAAGACTGCGGCAAGGACACAGTGGGTAGGCCAGAGCCTGAGCCCGTGGGGCATCAGCCGGCTCCCTCCTCTACCCCTACCCCACCCCACCCCACCTCACCGCCCCTCCCTCACCTACCCCCTGCCTGCGGGGCCTGGTCCTCGGGCCTGGGCGATGCCTGCAACCAAGAGGGGAAGGCTGCAGTGGGCAGAGGACACAGTGTCAAATGTGGCACCCAGAGGTGGCATCCTCTGCTGCTCCCACACATACCAGCAGCCCCCAGGCATGGCGGGGCTGGGCACCAGCAGCTCCAGATAGGGGAGAGCCTTGAACTGCTCCTCCCCAACAGCCACGTAGTAATGGCCGCTCACCAGGGCCTCTCCTCTGGACAGTGGCAGCCCCTCCAGGGTGCAGAGCCTGGGGGAGAGGGCAGGATGAGGGCAGGCCACCGTGAGGGGGCGGGCATGGTTCTTCCCAGGTGCCCTGACCTCATCTAGGCTCTGCCCCGTGGTGACACTGGGGACTTGCGTTCCCTTTACACTTCGCACTGTGAGCAGGGGAAACCAGAGGGCAGGCTCCGCACGGACTCGGAGGGGGCTCCCGCACTCACTTGCGTACAGCCCCGCTCTGCAGCAGGGCCTTCTCAGTCAGGAGCTTCAGCATGGCTTCCCAGTCCTGCTGGGTGGCCCGGGACAGCTTCAGACTAAACGGGGGGCTTCGCAGGTCCCCATTCCTGAACACGCTGAGACAGAGCAGCCTGGTCACGGAGGGTCCCGACTCCCTGTGTGAGGGAGAGGCAGCGGGGACGGGGGACCAGACCATTTCCACCCATCAGAGGGGCAGCACTTATTCCCATCAGTATCCGGGGCTGACAAGCCCGCCCCATCTTCTTGGTCCCACTGAAACTGAAGTGGACACCCTCGCCCCCAACACGGGCACTCACTGAATACGGCAGGGCACGCCTGCAGGCAGCCACTGTCCAGGGGCCCCATCACATGGGCGGCCAGTCACAGGAGGACCCTGAAACCCAAGCCAGCCCCAGATCAAGACAGAGTCCAGGCTTTTGGGGAAGAGTGGGACATTCCAAGGTGTGGGGCGGGGTGGGGTGGGGCAGGAGCCAGGTGGGCAGGAGGGGCAAGGGGGAGGAGTCACGGCTTTCTCCAAAGGGTGCTACTTTTTTAAATGCAGAGGTCATGGGTGCTTGCTGGAGAGGGAGAAGGGTCTGAGGAGGGCCCTGCAGAGGGCTGCCATACCGCATTCTGCTCCCTCCCTTTTCAGGACTTGGGGCACACGTGCCCAGCATGTTTCTCAAGCTGCCGGGTGTGGGACTTGAACCATGTGGCATCCTTGGGGATCCAGCTGCCTTAACTACCATGCCACTGGCTGGGCCCCCAGGTTACACTCTAGCCCTCCTGCCCCCATTTGTGTTGGTGGCATCCCTTTTTCTTCGGGGACCACTGCCTGGAAATAAAGCAAAAGGCTGGGACAGGGCCAGGAACAGGGTGGGGTCCTGCTCCCCAGGAGTGGCGGTTGGTATGGGAGGTGTGAGGGGCAGATCTGGCTGTTCCAGAGCCCAGACATGCCCTCCCCCAGGACTCACTTGTCCTCTGCTGCTCTTCCCTCCGGGGTCCTTCCCTCCAAGGGGTAAGGAGCTGAAAGGACAGACAGGTCACAGGTCATCTGGGGGGCCTACGGCCTCCATAGCCCGGCGGCTGCAGGAGTGTGGAGACGGCCCAGCTCACCAGGTACCCCCCATTGGAAGCTCAACTATCTTGGTCCATAATAGATGGACTGGCACTCAGACCCGTCTTAGCAGGATTCATGCACCGACTCAGGCTGGAATCTAGACAGGTCTCGGGTAGAGGCGTAAGCACTCTACCACCTCCCAGGAATTTTCTCATGCAGGAGGCAGGAGGTGTTTTGTTTTTTTTTTGAGAGGTTTTTGCTATAGGGCGTGTGCGCTCGCCAGACAGAGACAGTCAGAAAGTGAGAAATCACCCACCAGGGGGGATGGCCACGCTGCGATCCCTTCTCCTCCATTCTCCTCGGGATCTTGGGCACGCACACATATGCACCCGGCATGAGTTTAAGCCATTGGATCCAGGACTTGAACCGCGGTCGACTACATGGGAGTCCAGCGACATAGCCATTATGCCAACTGCTGGTCCCGAGGCAGGAGGTTTTATCTCCAATTTATATGAAACTCAGAGAAGTTAAGTGACTTCCCCAAGGTCACACAGGAAGTGATGTAACCAAGCCCAGGTTGAAATCAACCCCTGCGCCCCTGTAGTTAGCATAGCAGTCTCAGCCCAGCTTGGGGTAGACGACATGCAAACCAGATGGGAGCCGGAAATTCCTCCCAGTCTGGAGGACAGCCCTGTCCTAGCCTGGCGGAGTTTGGGCAGGTGGAGTGGCTGTAAGGATGGGAGGGGATCCAAGTCAGAAGAGCTTCTGGGGACCAGCAGATGGTGTAATGCTTACATTGCCGAACTCCTATGTAGTCCACTGCAGTTCGAGTCCAGGAACCGGCAGCGTAAAACTCATGCTAGTGGGCCAGCAGGTGGCATGGTGGTTAAAGGTGCTAGACTCCCATTTGGCCAACCATGGTTCAAGTCCTGGGCCTGGTGGCATCCTTTCACACCCGCACCCCCCCACCCCCGTCAAGTTGGGGAAAAAATAATAAGGATATAATTCTTTAAAAAAAAAAAAACTCATACCAGGCATACACGCATGTGTGCATGCACACAAGTACCCAAAATCCGAAGAGGATTATGGAAAAGGGATTGCAGCATGGTCAGACCCCCAGGGTGATTTCTGTCTCTCTGTGTCTCCGCCGAGTGCACACACCCCATAACAAAAACCTCCCTCAAAAAATAAGAGCTTCTGGGAAAGGGGGCTCAGCTCGCAGATGGCCCCCTTCGCAGGGCTGTCCTGGCCACGGCGGATGCCAGCCCTGGATAGAGTGCCATCTGAGATGCGGCTCCAGGGATTGCTGCCTGTGTACAGATTCCCCTCCTGAGTTAGGGAAGTGAGAAAACATCTGCGGGCAGGAACCAGCAGTTGGCGTAATGGCTATGTCGCTGGACTCCCACGTAGTCGACCACGGTTCACGTCCCGGACCCGGTGGCTTAGAACTCACGCCGGGCACGTGTGCATGCGTGCCCAAGATCCCAAGAGGAGAATGGAGGAGAAGGGATTGCGGTGTGACCATCCCCCCTGGGGGGTGATTTCTCGCTTTCTCTCTCTGTCTCTCTGTGTCTGGCAAGCGCACGCGCCCTATAGCAAAAACCTCTCCAAAAAAACAAAACAAAACAAAACAAAACAAAACCATCCACGTGTCTGGGTAGACGTCTGACCGACTGCACTGCTGCTATTGCGGCCCCCCACTCACCGGGGCTGGTGGAAAACCCCCCAGCCACATACTGCCCTCCATCCCGCAGGTCTGCCAGGGTGGTGACAGGGTGGCCGTGGCAAGGAGTGTAGAGGGCGCGTACAGCCAGCGGGGCCTGCAGCACCGACGTCACCTCACAGAGGAAGGCCTCCATGGTGGCGAAGCAGCGCTGATTCACCACTAGCCGGCGGCCTGGAGAGAAGGGGTCCCTGTTCCGATACACCATTACCCTCTTGGTGGCAGGGCTGCCACCCGCCATAGTGTCCTTGGCCCGAGTCGCTGAGCTGTTGCCAGGCAGCTAAGGCGGAGCTGGGAGTCCTGCCCTCTCACGGAAGGAGGCAGGAGCTGCTGGGCAGGAGCCTTCAGCGCATCCAGGGCCTCAGCCAGTCTGCCCCAGGGCCAGGGACGGGTGCGATCGCTGCACGAATGAAACTGGGTGTCCGTGGGGGAGAGGCGGCCATCCGCTCCATTGCCCGCCCCTCAAGGCCAGGGCCTGAGCTGGGAGGGGACTGGCTCAGACTGCTCCAGGGTGGGCTGCGGCTCTGCTGGCCTTGGTGGGCGTGGTCCTGTGGCGGCCGGGGGAGGGGG